AAAAACACTTTGGGAACGCATATCCCCTCTTTAAACCAGTTTAAGGAATTTATTAAAAATTCCGCAAACTTGCTAGAGTCTTTAGAATCAAAACAACCCAAACCCTATTTAGACAAAGGCAAAATGTGCTCCAAATCATTTGTTTCCAGTGGTCCGATTTGTGCTCTATGTAAACAGTCTCATTACTTGTCCAAATGTGATCACTTTCACAAACTAGCTCCACCGGATAGACTAGCTAAGGCAAAAGAATTAAAGGTCTGCATTAACTGTTTATCTAAAGGACATTTCGTAAACCAATGCAACTCCACATTTACTTGCCGTCTTTGCGGTTCCAAGCATCATACTAGCTTACATATCAAGTCAAAGGAACCATCAGTTGAGCAATTACCTGCTTTCTCACATGCGGAAATTCCTGATCGGTCTAGAACTATATCTGCATTTTCATCTAACACCACTCAAGTGCTCTTGCCTACGGCCATAGGGAAAATAATGGATTCTACTGGAAAGCTTTATAAAATTAGAATACTGTTGGATTCTGGATCTCAATCCAATTTCATCAAGTCAAGTTTATACAAAAAATTGAAATTGCCAGTTCAGTCGATCAATGCATCCATTTCTGGTCTAGCCCAAGCATCTTCTCTAGTTCATTCCAAATGTGACGTTGAAGTACACGCTAATCAATCGCCATTTAAGCTTCAGCTTTCTTGCCTTGTTCTCGATGAAATCACAGGTAGTGTTCCAGGCATTTGTGTTGATTTGAAACATTTTAAGATTCCCGATAACATAAGGTTATTAGACCCTTCGTTCGGAGAGCCCAATGACATTAATATTCTGCTCGGGGCGTCGACTTTCTTTAACATTCTGTGCATCGGGCAGGTTCGTCTTGGTTCAAATCTGCCTGTCCTTCAAAAAACCCGTTTTGGTTGGGTGGTTTCAGGTCCTGTTGGGTACCACCAGGATTCCCGAGTTCAGTGTCATTTAAGCTGCACTGAGGAACTGCCTGATCAGCTGAACAAGTTCTGGGAACTTGAACATTATCCTTCGACCAAGGCGCTCTCTTCGGAAGAGAAAGCATGCGAATCTCATTATCTGCAGAATACCAAAAGGAATTCCGACGGTAGATTTGTCGTATCTATACCCTTTAAAGCTCCCGTCGAGCTACTCGGTGATTCCTACAAAATTGCCGAGAAGCGATTTCTTTCTCTGGAAAAACGGTTTCAATTAAATCCAAGGTTGTACGAACAATATTCTCGCTTCATGAAGGAGTACGAAGAGTTGGAACATATGACTGAAACTGTTCCTCATTCCTCTGAAGTTTGCTTTTATCTTCCACATCACGGAGTTTTAAAGGAGGACAGTCTCACGACAAAACTTCGTGTTGTTTTCAACGGTTCCATGCCATCCAC